CCATATGGCCGTTTTTGTTGTATGTTTATGTGGAGATTGAATATAACTGTGACCCTGTGCTTGTTTGTATACTTACTATGGTCAAACAGGGAACAGCACATTCACATAACATACTCACCTAGCACCTAACTCATAGCTGTACCCTGCAGGATCTGTACTTGTTCATGTCTTGAGCATTAACAAAGCACTAAAGTAGCTTAGTAATCATTTCCCACATTTTCTGAGCATCTAACATGACATACAGCAGTGCAGAGCAGCTTCAGAGAAGAAACACTTTAAATGCACAGACTCACACCAGCCACCCAATGAGCCAGTTCCTCAGTTGACTGTTTCCCTGGATGCAGCTTGGCAATGTGAGCTAACTTTTGGCAAGTTGAAGGTTAGCAGGTAAGATTGAGTTAGGGTGAGTACCTACCTATAACTGAGTGCTACTGCTATGCAGGTCTTGGGTAGGCTGCAAATATGTGTGATGATTGAGGTTAGGTCAGCTGTCAGGTTAGTCAGGAGTATGCTCATTGCTCAGGTCACATTTTTATGGACACTTGGCAAATTAAAAAACTAACAATCTAATCTAAGCTAACCCGACTAAACATACACAACTACCGACTATAGGAACTAAGCACCTACCTACTTGTGCGTGTGCCTACATCTCATACCATGTCAAAGTAGAGTTCCTTGGTGGAAGATTACCCTCAGTACTTTTTATCCCAGCCCTGTGAAGAAAACCAATACTTCTAAGCTCTGAGTCACTGCTGGCCATCCACAGGAAGAAACGCTGAGACTGAAAGCTTTGCCATTGTATATTGGACCAATAATCACTATCACAAATGACTATGAACACATTATATGATCACATCGTTGCATGGATTGTCACATTGACAATTCTACTACAATCCTTTTTTCAAGAAATACATTGATGATTAACATCAAAATCAACATAAAGTGGATTTAGTGATCCAAGCTTTCTCCTCCAGTAGCAATGGAATGATCGCATGTTTCATTTGTCAGACACTGAGTACCTGATGCACATTACAATCTGCATAGCATGAAGCATCTAAGCTGCCCAAGTCCATTCATTCTAGATTTTTAACTTGAAAGTTAGCACTAATTTATCTTGCTGTTGTAAGTTATCATTCAATATCCATACCAATACATCAATATGCGCTCATCAGTCAACATTTTCTGGCATGATCCTGCTCAGCGTGCTCTTCAGTAGGTATTGCTCCAAGGTCTGCAATATTATAGCTTGTTTTTGGCCAATAAGCTCTTTTAATTTTACTTTTTCTTGCTGATATATGAGCCCGATCACCTTGCGTTTATCAACCAAAATTTCATAACTTGTTCAACTTGATATTGATATTGCTCAGGAGTCAGGACCTCTGTCAGCCTCCTGGATACTTCGGATTGTTTTCAGTCAACATGCTTCTTAAATATGATATAAGTCAATATTCAAAACATCCAACAAAACGACGTACAAGAGTAAGAAAACCACCAGATAAACTAAAAAATGGCCTTGGAACAGAGCCAAGTGGTGCTCCATTTGTTTGTTTACAGTGATTGTAGTGCTGATGTATTTTTAGGACTCTGAACGTCGACTTATAAAAAATGAAACGTTTTTACAAAAGTTGTAAGGCAAGTAATATTTATCTGAAAGAACTAAAATATTCAAAAGCCAAACACTATGAAATACATGAATCGGAACGAAAAAGTAACCAAAAAATCCAGCCTAATCACCGGCTCCTAAAACTGCAACAAAATCAGCACTTTTCCCCGCAACTCGTTGTCCAGACGTAAATATGCTGTGGGTTGTCAACACAATCGTGCTACCAAATTCTAGTGAAGCCGAACCGTGGCTTCCAAATCGCAAAATCCTCTCCGTAAGTCTTCCCTTTATGCTACAGCATTAGCACATGGATTCATCCATGATAAGCGCATAGCAATATGATTCGGGCCAAGGGCAATATGACCAATAAATGTCTATTAAGTATTAACGTCAAAGAATAGGAGATTCGGGGAAGGAAGATACTGAGATAGTGATTGAGATAAGAGAACCATTCACCGTCTGGTACACCGGCCCGACCGGCCACGGTGCTTCATAACCTAGGTCCTAGGACTTCAGTCATCGGGCCCACACCGCTCCGTGCTTCTATCCTCTCCTCAGGATACTGAAATCCTTCTCCACGCCGCAACCCCCCTCCGGGCTGGACAGGCAACTTTATCTCATGCGGGCTGCTCCCTTGGAGCGGCACCGCTGCTCCCGAGGGAGCGCACACCGTAGCCGGGTGCGGTGAGTGCCTTGGGGCTGGGTGGCCTGTCCTCTGGACGGGCTCAGCCCCGGCGACTCACTAGGGTGCCTGCCCAGACCAATGTCTCCCCCTATATCCTATCATCCTCCCGGCTCTGAAATGGTCTCATTGCACAGTGGGGATTTTTCCGATCTAGCACGTATTTATTCGTAGAGGGCAAACCATAGGTAGAATTGTAGCCAGATTGTGCACAGATGTTGGCTGGTGTGTTCTGGTGAGAATTTTACCTGTAAATGTGCATAATCAACATAGTATATGGGGTTCAATTGGACCCCCCGCTCAGCCGTTTGGCCCCTGATCAAGCTAGAGCTTCGCGGAAAAGTCAAGCGTGCTGCCTATGACGAAATTAGGCCGAATATATCCAATTTCAAAGTCCAAGATCATAAGCTGACTTTCCAAGTCAGTTTAATGACCCAACTAAAGTTGGGAAATTGAGACCTCTTGAAACTTCGGAAAGTTAGGGTGTTACGGGGTATTTTGGGATGCTGATCACGAATTTCATGTTAGTTTTGATCACAGACGATGTCTTTATGCATTTAGGCCAGGTCGGGTCAGGTCAGGTTAGATCAATTAGTAGACGTCCTGCCGGCCATCCATAGAAGTGTCACCTACTACTGATAGCTTCGTAACATGGAACGAAGGCACTAGAACTACTTCGTAAATATTCAAATGGCTGCTAAAATCGAAATCAGCACCAAAAACTACCCTAGAAACAAGTAAAACTCGAAAAAGTGAACCAAGGTCATCAAAAGGTCAATGACCTTGACTTGACCTTCACGTGACCTTGACTCCCACCATTATGCATGGCACCAACATCATTTCACATATCTGAACGTTTAAAACCACAAAAAGACTGGAAACCGCGGATAATGTGAGCTGGCATACGCCGAATCGCGATTCCGGCCAAACATGGTCTCGAGAAGTATGCCACAGGTCAAAGGTCAGTTGGGTCAGAGTCATGAAATTTTTAGGTTAGATGTAAAATTGATGATCTCGAGGGTACCGAAAGTTTCGGCGCGATCGGCCGCTTTTTGCGCGAGTAATTTGCGGAAAACCATGGGGTTTTATCCGACCCCTTCCCCCTCCCCCTCCCCACAAGTGCGATGGTTAATAAGGTTACGGTATGTATAATCTACGCTTGTCATCCTATTCCTAATGAATGTGTCTCAAAAAAATATGCATCATATAAATCACGAAGTAAAATTATTCGCCTATGTCCGGAACATACCTATATCGTGCTGTTTGCCCTAGCGCTCCTCGAGTGGGGTGTTAAGATACTCTAATGTGAATATTCCGTGTTCAGGCAAGTTTCGGCAGCCAAACTAGGCGTTGTCTTGTGCAGAAGAAAGTGGCGAATTCGATAGGATATATTTCGGAGTGGAAAAGTGTGGAGAACATTGTTGATTTCCTACATTTATTTAGAATACCATTCCTTCAATATGCTGTCTGTAAGGGTTTTTTTTGTAAAGGGCATTTTTGTGACCTTAGTAAGGTTGTGGCATACTTTCTGTTTGCCATTCCATTCCTAATAAAGGTGCCTTTCAGACGATATGCAACTTTAAGACCTCGCAAGATTAAAACCAACAGGACAGGACAATGAAATTGAGCTATACTTTCGGGCCTTGCTGAGCCCATTGAGTAATCACGCATGAGTGTGAACTTTGGGCGCATTTTTCCTAGTTTTGCTGTGGACATACAGATAAAACAATGCCATATATGAAAAATTCAGACATTTCTTAGCCCTCCTGACACAAAAAATTAACAAAAATCCAAAAAATATTTTTTGAATTAATAGGCGCTAGATCGGAAAAATCCCCACTGTGCATTGGACCGAAAGGGCCTAACCCAACAAAACAAACAAACAAATCATCGGGCCCGGCGATTCCGTCATCGCTGAGAGTCGGTGCCCCGGAGCGGGGGGCAACTAATGGCCGATATGGCTGCTCCAGCAGCCAAAGTTGCTGAGCGGGGGATCGGGCGATGTATACACAAAACACATGCCTATATTGGGTATAATGTTTATTAGCAGTGTGCCCCATGAGTTTTTGGAGTGATTTTATCAATGCCTGAAATTAATACCTACCCTATGTAGTGCAGACGAGCCAGTTCTGTCAGCGAGGGGCGTTTCCTCTAGGACGGTGTGACAAGAAACGGCGCAGCCTCATGCTATTGATAGCATCAGGTGGCATCATGAGTGTAACAGGGCCTACGACTCTTCATTGATTGGGCATCACATCTCTATCGATGACGACTACCGTGGTTCGGAAAGCGTGCTTATTAGGTATGGTTGGTCGTTTTCACCTTTTAACGCATTCGAAAAGCCAATCGTAATCAGTGGTTTATGCGAGGTTAGCACTCACTTTTATGAATTGCTTTGTTCCAAAATTTGCAGTGATTAGAAACGCCGAATTTCGTGGATTGTTCTCATAATTGGTGCTTTACAACAGACATGACTGTTGTTCGCATTGTACCACAGCGATCGGTAGACACGGGCCGGGTCTTCCAAGTACCCTGGTTCCTAAAATCAATTACTCACGATGAAATAATTAATCATCTTGGTTCCTCTTCAGCAATATTTCTTACACAGCTACGCTCGCCCTCTTCTCCGTAACCCACGCTCTGGATGTCCCCGTTTCTGCTCCTTCCCATGTCGCTCAGTTCATTTCAGACGCCACAGTCTCAGTTTACAAACAGTAACGGTGTGCGGCACCCTGGTCGGGCGCCACCTATATTCGCGGATGAATGACAGCGCACATGAGCTCGACAGCCAGTCAGTCTGGCGGCAGTCGCACAAATGAAACATGCCGTGAAACGCTCGGCTAGTACCAAACACTCTCAAAATAGACATAGAATCCCATAACACTTGGGGCGGCGGCCGGACACCGGTGCACGCTCGGCAGCTCGACACAGATCGACCGCTGACCCGACACCGGGTCCCTGGGCAGTTCAGTGGGCCTCAGCCGGTACATGGGGCCCAGGCGAGGCGGGGCGGGGCGGGGGCGGGGCGGCTCTCACGTGAACTTGATCGAATGAACAGTTGTGTCTATCTGTCCACCACTGTAGCTCCCGCGTTTCTTCTTTGTCTTCTCATGCCGGAATCCCTTTCCGCGGGTGAACTTGAGGTCTCGGTTGGCCCGCTCGCCCCAGGATCCGACGGCACCCGACTGGAAGAGAGCAGAGCCGTCACTGCGCGTCCGCGCGGCCCGCCCTCCGCCACCAACACCACACACACACCGACATACAGTCGACATACCGACACACACAGTCGGGCCGGCGCGACCAACACGCTAGTCGAACGTCGTCCTCACGCCCTTACCGCGCGCCGCGAACCCGTTCTTATCGGTGCCTCCGCGGGATCCGGCGCGACCCCGGAACCCGCCTCGGTCGCCGCCGCCGCCACGACCCCGGAACCCGCCTCGGTCGCCGCCGCCGCGCCCCCGGAACCCGCCTCTGTCTCCGCCGCGACCCCGGAACCCGCCTCGGTCGCCGCCGCCACGACCCCTGAAACCGCCTCGGTCGCCGCCGCCACGGCCCCTGAAACCTCCTCTGTCACCGCCGCCACGGCCCCTGAAACCACCCCTATCGCTGCCCCGGCCCCTGAATCCGCCTCGGTCTCCGCCACCGCGACCCCGGAATCCGCCACCGCCGTTGCCGTATCCGAGGCCGGCGCGCGGCGGACGAGTATCGAATTCGACCGTCTCGTCGTCTTCCTCTTCCTCCTCGTCAGCGTCCTAAAACACGGGGGAGGGGGCGGCTCAGCGCGACACGCCGACACTGCGCGGTTACCTTGGCCTCGAAGGAGTTGTCGGCCAGCTGCTGGTGTACCTCCACCTCCTCCTCGCGCACGCGGCGGAACGGCGTGTTCTGTCGCCGGCCGGCCGACGCCGCCTGGCCCTTGGCCTTGGCCACCGGCTGCGGAGTCTTAATCTGAACCTGCAGGTATGTCAGCGGCGCGTGCACAGCACATGACGGCACAGTCCACACAAAGTAGCGTGTAGCAAATACAGCTGGGACGTCGTCAGTGACAAATGAATGACAAATTATTAGTAGGAACTAGCCATTGTCCCTGGCCATTGTTATCAAACGTGCTGAAATGGGTCACTTTGGCATTTTAAAAACATAAGAGGAGTAATGTGTAGACAAAAAAGGAAATCAACATGCAGACAAGTTACTGTGCTTTTATAAAAAAGAGCACTTTTGAGAGTAGATGGCTTTAACACTCGTAATCCAGAATACACAGGTAGGCAATGACAAATGGGACAAATAATACACATTAGAAAAGGCACCTTGGCAAAAATCACAGTTCGATTGACACTGATCTAAGTGATAAGCGATGAAAGCTCACAAAATGATTGACACCGCGGTTTAGATATCTGACTTAGTTATAAACAAAGTTTAGAGACTCGCCCCAAAATATATAGGGTCCACACTATCAGCCGCAATGAGGAGTGGCAGCGGTACGTACCTGTTTGCGGACGGTGACGTCATCCTCCACCCCGCTGTCGCCGTTCTCCAGTTTCGCCTTCTTCTTCTTCGGTTTCGGCCCCTCTTCTTCATCGGAGTCGTCGCTGTCGTCTGACTCGGACATGGCGTGCTTGGCAGCCACCGGCACCACCTTCTTCGGCGGCTCGTCGTCCTCACTGTCCTCATCAGAAGAACTGTCCTCGGCCGCCGCGGCCGTCGGCGCCTTCGTCACCGCCGCCTTCTTCGGCGCAGGCTCGTCGTCATCGCTGTCTTCTGACGAGGACGACTCGCGCTTCTTCGCCGCGGCCTTGGCAGGCGTCTTGACGGCGGGAACTGCCTTCTTCGGCTCCTCGTCACTGCTCGAGTCCTCCTCAGATGACGATTCTGCCTTCTTAGCTGCCGGTTTAGCAGGCGTCGACTTGGCTACGGGCGTCACCTTCTTGGGCGCCTCATCTTCACTGCTGTCTTCCTCTGACGATGATTCCGCCTTCGCAGCGGGCTTGACGGGGGTGGCCTTGACGGCGGGCTTTTTGGGAGCCTCGTCCTCGCTGCTAGAGTCCTCCGACGATGATTCCTTTTTAACCGGTGCTGCCTTTGCTGGAGTTGGTTTTGCAGGTACAACCTTCTTGGGAGCCTCATCCTCACTGGAGTCTTCTTCTGACGACGATTCGTCCTTCTTTGCCACTACCTTTGCCGGGGTCGGTTTTGCAGGTGCTACCTTCTTCGGAGGTTCGTCTTCCTCACTACTGGACTCCTCCGATGACGACTCGTCCTTCTTTGCGACTGGCTTACTGGGAGCTGCCTTAGCCTTAGCAGGGGTCGGCACCACCTTTTTGACGGGCTCGTCCTCTTCATCGCTGCTGTCCTCGTCCGAAGACGACTCGGGTTTCTTGGCGGGTGCTTTTGCTGGTGTTGCTTTAGGCGGCACTGCTTTCGGTGGACCCTCCTCTTCGCTGCTGTCCTCTTCAGATGAGGACTCTGCCTTCTTCGCAACAGGCTTTGCGGGCGTTACCTTTGCCGGAGCCACCTTCGCGGGAGGAGTCTCGTCCTCACTACTGGAGTCCTCTTCTGATGAAGATGCCTTCTTGGGAGCGATCTTTGCGGCGGGCGCCTTGGCAGGTGTTGCCACCACCTTCTTGGGTGGCTCGTCTTCATCACTGCTTGAATCCTCCTCTGATGACTCTTGTTTTGCTGCCACTTTCGGTTTTGCCGGTTGCACAATCTTTTTTGCCGGAGGTTCGTCATCCTCGCTGCTAGAGTCCTCAGAAGAGCTCTCCTTTTTCTTTGCTGCTGGCTTCGCCGGCGTCGGCTTTGCTGGAGTAGCAGCCTTCTTGGGGGCTTCATCTTCGCTGCTCGACTCTTCATCAGAAGACTCATCTTTCTTTGCTGGAGTGGCTGCGACTTTCTTCGGAGAAGCCAATACGATTTTCTTAGCTGGTTCTTCGTCACTCGAATCGTCTGACGACTCATCTGACGAGGCCGGCTTTGCAGCAATGGGCTTCACGGGGGTCTTCTTAGCCGACGGAGGAGGCACGGGCTCGTCATCACTGTCAGATTCAGAGTCTTCTGAACTCGATTCTTGTTTTTTACCTGCTTTGGCTTTTCCGTTCACTTGTGCCTTCTTCGGTGTTTTGATGATACTGACATTAGGTGATTTCCTGAAAGCAAGAGAGACCAAATTAAAAAAGTCTTATTTCGAACGAAAGTTGACACTTAGCTTAGCTTATTTATAGTCACCGTGGGCAAACTATTCCGCAAAATCCAGAAATTAAAACAAATCGAAATGACAATATACAAGACAGAAAAATTTGAGGGAAAAGAAAAGTAAAAAGGCCCGTTTCAAAAGATAAAGTGGAAAGGTTCGCACTTGGCAATGTGTACTTGTCAGTTGCAAGAAAAGCTGCGTCATGGCAATGTCTCAAATAAACTCCGGGCTCAAACAGACAGCGGACTTGGCATGTTTATTAACAATCGCACTTATGGGAGGGGGAGGGGGTTGAACGGACCCCCCTCGGTTTTCGCAAATACCTCGCACAAAAAGGGGCCGAGCTCGACGAAACCTTCAGTAATCGCGAGTTGAGCAATTTTACACCTACACTGAAACAAACCTAGAGAGCTACAGCCTCACGAAAAACAAGTGTCCGCCCTGTGAAGCGACTGATGTCAAGCAATTTAGTGTCAGCTCAAGCAGTTATTTCTGAGGTCAGGTCAAGAGCCCAAAGGTCTGGAATCTGGATGACTTCTGGACTAAACCTACAGTAAAAACATCTGCAGAGCAATTACTACCATCATTGTATTTTCACGTTGAATGCTGAATACCATACTTTATGTCCGGAAAAGGTCATCTTTGGGTGGGTGTTGACCAGGGCTGCGGAGTCAATGTAATTTAGGGTGACTCCGACTCCGGCTTCAAAAATCGACTCCGACTCCGGATGGTTCTACCCGCGCCGCCCTGGTGGGGGGGGGGGGGGGGGGGGTGCTATTCATAAGCGCTTGACGTATCGACGCCAAACTTTCAGTACCTTCGGCTGCATCAATTTGAAAACTTGTGTCAAAATATGAACTTCGTAGCTACCATAGGTCGGCTGGAAATGACGTCAGAGTGACGTCATGTTCGGCCGATTTCGACGCAAAACATTGAACCACGACAATCGCTCCCAATAGCTCAGCTTTTGAGCTAGATCCAATTTCTTTGCATGAGAGGACTCAGGATAGACTGTGCTATCAAACTGCTATGTCGGATTTTCAAAGTATTGAAAATTTTATATCATAGAATTCAAAATTTATATTTTAATATTTTTTCAAAAAACTTTTTGACTTTTCGAAAAACCTGGAATATATGTGATAGAACACATACTTATGACTTACTGTAGCAAGTTGTAGCTAAATATCTTCAAAAAATGGTCAAGTTATACACATTATTGCAAAAAAATTCACAATTATAAATTTTTCAAATCAATTTTTCAGTGCGTACTTGACGTCATACACCAATATAATTAGCACCATCGTGTTCCTGAGAGCTCAAACTGCATCCAATGGACACTCTTTTTGTTGAAAAATTTTAACTTCAAAATTTGACCTTTTTTACCTAAAAGTAACCTGACCTAAGCTAAATTCAACTCAAAATGACCTCGAATGACACAAACGACACCAAATTCGAAATCTATGGCCTAAATGGACCATAAAACATGTGTCACGTGACCGACGCATGATATAATATTTCCGTGACCTGTGATGACCTGACCCTCACCTGAAAATCAAAGTACAAGTTTGGCACCCTCATGAACAAGCTCAATTGTTGACACATCTGTTGCACAGATTAACACAAATAAAGTAGGTAGTAGGTACCTTCCTAGTACCTACATTAATGCCTAATTGTGTTAGGTTTTGTTAGGCTAGGTAAAGTAATGTAAGGTTTGGATAGTTTTGATAAGCCATCTAGGAAAGGAAATTCCAAGAATATTTTAGTCTGCAATGACATTTGTTTTATAATGCTGGGAAGTTGGTGGTGCATCGCTACTGCTAGTAGTTTTTTTTTGTAGCATTTGGGGTCATTGCTCTTGGTGGGATCAGGGTGGAAGAAGTGCCTCCACATTATTGTCAATTTATCACTCCTGAGCATATGGAGCAGCTATAGTCTGATATGTAAGACAACCTGAATTGTCACTGTGCAATTTCTCATATCTGCCACCCTCAATCCTGTTACTCAAAATTAAACAATAGGAAGAGACTTCAACTTACGTTTTGTAAAACTTCACAACTGCATCAAGTGTTGGAGCAGAATCATCCAGTGGAAGCTGTAAAAAGAAAAGAAGTGCAAATTAGTCATTTTACATTAACACCACTGACCACAATAAATGCTTAAAGCATTTCAAATTGGGCTGCTTCCCCCAATGCAAAATTACAATCAGCCAAGTAAAATCATCAAGATCTGCAAATTAGCCTGGAAGCTAGATACACAATTACTTAACCTAAAATATTTGATTTAGCATTGCTTGTAATCTCAATCTCTCCTAAGGCATTGCCTTCGGCAATGCACTGCTCTGCCACAAGTATTATGATGACGTCACTTCAACTTTCATAACAAAATTGAATAGCGTAATGTTTTCACTCAACCTTGGAGTTTATTCATTCGATCCTGTCTACGTGGCGCAAACGGCTGGTGGAGTGCTACAGCTGTAGTGGCCGGTGGTGACGGTAAATATTTCACAGGTGGTTTAAAACTTCAAATTATGTCATGTGATATGCTTCTTACTATCACTTGGGGTTCGCATGAAAGTAAAGGCTGCCGGTCCTAAACTAAATAAATACCAAAAGGCCTTCCTAAATTCCGCATTTTATAAGTATAAGTATAAGAAAGTGCCTTACTATCTTCTGGCTAATTTTCCAGCTGGCGCCGCATGGTGGCGCTAGCAGAGCTTGTTATATATCAACGCTAGGTCAGTTGGGCAAACTAGACCTTTGGAATCAAAATATGGAGGCATCAAAAGATTGATTCCTTATGACCATATTTGGGCATAAATGCAGACCATTTCTAACTTACCAATCACATAAAAATATGAGAGTGTTTCAAGAAGGAGCATGCCTGATCTTGAACAGAAATGCTGGAACTATCTCCTAAGCAAAATAATATTGCTCCTATCATAACAATTTGAATTCTATAGGAAGTGAAAGGCAATCAAGGAATTGATTCACTTTAAACAGATAATCACAATATTGATTCCCCATCAGCTGGCTAATCATTGTTCTGATTCACAGGTAATGTTAAGAGATAGGCAACAATGACTTGCAGGAATACATCATTTATCTTGCTACTATTCTCATTTAGTGGTATCCTCAGTACCACAACAGATACCTATAGCATTGTTGTAGTTAACCTTCACTACATTTGATAACAATTCACAATTTTTAAATGTCAAGAATACAAAAACTGAAGCAACAGGTAAAAACCATATAATAAATATAAAAGCACTACAACAATGATAATAAGGGGTTTGAAAAATTCATTTTGCTATTTTACATAAATACTGATTGTTTAGTTGCGATTCATGATACAAAAATAACATACAGTGTGATTTCCTCAAAACAGCTTTTACGTGATGAACAGTGACTCTGTCTTTCTCTCATTCACAAGGCCAAAGGGACAATTTCTTAGTTTTGAGGTAACACTTTTTGGAAAGCTTCCACATTTTTCTACCTTTTTAAAGAAAAAACTCACCGTCATGGGCCTTTTTTCAACCGTAACGATACATTTGAAGTCAAAAGTGTACCCAAATGAATCAAAAAATTGATTCCATGCCCATATTTGGTCATGGCTCCTCCCACCAGAATCAAATTATTGATGCCTCCATATTTTGATTCCAAAAGTCTAGTTTGCCCAACTGAGGTATAAACAACTAAATATTGATATTGATTTTTCTGAGAGCCATTTTACGTGTTCATGTCCATCTATATATGTATATATAGATAAACGTCATAGCTATCGTGCGTCGCCAGCTGATTTAATCCAGTTGTATAGTAAGGCACATCAGAAACTGGAAAAGTCAAGATAGGTAGTGAAAATTGAACCATGCAAGGCTCATTTGACTATTCAGCTCATTCTGGGGCTGGAGTAACCAACATATATACTTACTGATTTTCTTTTTGATTTATACTGCTTCGCTAATCCGGGATCCACCTGGGAAAGGTGTGAAAGCACCAAAGATGAGACCTCGCTCGCCAAATCCGCCATGGCTGCGAGCACGCGGTGCCAAAAGAGAGCCCACGTGTGGCGTCGGATTTGTATTCAATAAGCTACTACTAGCGGTATATACTGCCTTGCTAGTAGTAGCAATGTACACTTGTAAATATTCGCAGAAAAGTTATAAACTGTCTATAAAGAAGTCAGTAAACTTTTCTTAAAAAATTATTATAAAAAAATTTGCTACATGAGTGCTTCGAAAGGGCAGAAATAATGTTTGTCATAAATTTCTAGTAGCTATTTAAATAGGAATATAGTCGAAATTATGGTCGAAATTGAAAAAGCACAGTAAAGAGAAAAGACGAGTAATTTAAAGACCTGCCTCAGGAATTAATACGGGGCATTCATTTTTCAAAGAACGCTCAAATATTTCATGATAATCGATTAAAACTGTTGTGATGAATCAATGAATATTTCAAAAACAGCAGTAAAATGGTGAACTGGCCACTCAAAGCAAGAAGTAAAGTAATCTTGACCAGGGGCGGATCCAGGAAAACTCCAAGGGGAGGGTCATGAATCGAAGTGGTGCCCCTACCTATACCCAAAATTAAAAACTCAACGGATTTCGTCCACTTCATTTTGGTGGTGCCCCATTTTCAGTTTTTTTTATTTTTATTTTTTATTTTTAGTCAGTATCTTAACTCTTAGCCACAACCACATTTACCAATTGTAAGCAAGTAGGTACCCAGGTGAAAAAATCTTACAAGATTGTCAGGCATTATTATGCAAGACAATCTTGCAAGAAATTGGCCCACTTTCTTGTAAGATATTGTGTATGAATCTTGCATGTCTTGTACAAGATTCTTGTTAATCTTCTACAAGAATCTTGCACATCTTATACAAGATTCTTATAAATCTTGTGCAAGAATCTTGCAAGTCTGGTACAAGATTCTTGTAAATCTTTTACAAGAATCTTGCACATCTTATACAAGATTTTTATAAATCTTGTGCAAGAATCTTGCAAGTCTGGTGCAAGATTCTTGCAAATCTTTTACAAGAATCTTGCACATCTTATACAAGATTCTTATAAATCTTGTGCAAGAATCTTGCAAGTCTGGTGCAAGATTCTTGCAAATCTTTTACAAGAATCTTGCACATCTTATACAAGATTCTTATAAAGAATCTTGCTGGTCTGGTACAAGATTCTTGCATGTCTTGCACAAGGCTCTTGCAAGAGTCTTGTAAGACTCTTACGTGTACTGTATAAGAATCTTGCAGAAGTCTTGTACAAGACTCTTGCATGTCTTGTACAAAGCTTTTGCTAAGCTTTTGCTAGAGTCTTACCAGACTGTTGCAAGAGTATTGTACAAGACTTCAACAAGTTTTGTACCAGACTCTGGCAAACCTTCTACAAGGCTTGCTAAGACTCTGACAAATCTTCAGCAAGACTTGGAAGTCTTATCGAAGACTTGCAAGCCTTGTGCAAGACTTCCAGACACATCGTTGCCCTAAGATATTGTTTCGATTGTATTCATGTCGAGACCCATGTGTACGAAATCCGCAAAGTGAAATGGATAATATGCCAGTGTAAACGTCTAAATCAATATGTATTCATAAAAAATGTATAGCTGAGAACACATATTAAAGCCCTTTACTTTTCGAGTCATCCACACGTCACAGTCACATCACACCATCACACCGTTGACGTCACGTCATGTCACCATTGTCGAGGCCGCCGTTCCGTCTGCATCCAGCTATACTCGTACACATCCTGAGCGAGGATGTCGCCCGTCGAGCCTTGCATCGCATATTATTGGTGAGCCGAGATTCTCGAATGCTGAAATGAAATGTCATTTATATAATCAGGTAATATCCAAAGCCAGATGTGAAAAGGTGAGCCAGTACCTATCAGTCAAAAACTAGAATTGATGGGGCTCATTGTCGATTAAAGATAATTCAGCATATCATAGCTATCATCCTCACGTATCTACCATCCCTGGGCCCAGTTTCACCGTATGACGTTACCGTCAGCACTATTCCCTTTGTGGCATGCAAAAGAATGACAGGCAATCAGCTATTTTTGAGTGAACGTTTCGGGGCTTTTTTTCTGTAATGCTGCAAATATTGAGAATATTGTTACACAGCAATACAGCATGGCAGAACCTTACCTTCAGGTCGGAAGAGGAGACGGCAGACGACACCAACACCGCACGGCACACACTCGACACCCCCGTCAGCCGTCCGCACATCGCGAGCGGGCAGTGAATGGGACGGATGGAATGCGGCGGAGGGGGGCGCGCGCGATGCGCGCTCCCCTCTCCGGCGTCTCCGGCCTTCGCCCCAGGCGAGGATCGGGACTGGGAGGCCTGGGAGGGGACGCCCGCCGCCGACCGTACGGTCTCTAAAACGGTCAGTGGTCGCTAAATTCCAGTCGGTACAGTCTCTAAAAGATCACCACTGCGCACAAATGCACGCTTAAGTCCCCAAATAATACAGTACAGTAATGCGTCAAATTAAGCTGAGAATGTTATGAAGGGATTTGGGAGTTATGAAGTGAATCGATTCTTTTATAGGGATCAATTCACAATTCGTAATGGGACAATGTTGACAACAACATTCGAATGTTGATGTCCCGCCAGTTCTAATAATGAGATGTGACGTCCTGAGGACTAGGTGAATAAATCCCGGTAGGTTGCAGATTGAGAAGAAATGTCCAGTCCAACTTATCAACGCACCGGGGCGAGGCATTTCTCCCAAGGTACTCCTCATACTTTAGTATGAGGCTTATCAATGGTCATGACCGATCAGCGAGCTGTTAAAAAAATCTTACAAGTAACCAACAGACTTGCCAGAATCTTGCAAGAAAGATTCTTGCAAGGAAACCACCGCATTCTTACAAGACTCTTGCAAGATTGGGACAGTCTTGTACAAGATTCCCTAGGTCTTGCAAGACTGTCCTCAGAATCATATAAGATCTTGCAAGATCGAGAAGATTCTTGTAAGATCTTGTAAGATTTTTTCACCTGGGTATATATGAATGTGCTATGTGTATATATGTTGTGGACGCTGAGTAGTGAGTACTTACCAGGAACGTTATCAGGTAAGCAAATCGTTGTCAGTCCGACGAACTTGACCCTGGCGTCTAAAGGGTCTGTCCTTGACACTTCAGGCTTGTCAGGGGCACCAAAGTCCTTCCAGGGACACCACAAACCTGTCAGGGGCACCTACGGCCTTGTAGGGGCGCCACAGGCCCGCCAGGGGCACCACAGGCCTGCCAGGAAGCAGGGGCACCACAGGTCTAGCAAGTATACACGACAGGCCTGTCAGGGGCACAACGGGCCTGTTGGGCCCATGAGCACCCCTAGGGGCAGGGGCACCACAGTCCTTCCAGGGGCACCGCAGGCCTGTGAGGGGCACCAGCGGCCTAGCAGGGGCACCAGTCAACACAGGCCTGCCAGGGGCACCACAGACCTGCCAGGGGCACCAGAGGCCTGCCAGGAGCACCACCGACCTCGCAGGGGTAACTTGGGCCTGTCAGGGCCCAGGGGCACCACGGGCCTGTCGAGAGGCACTTCAGGCTTTTCAGGGGCACCATAGTCCTCTCCGGGCGCAGGGGTAGCAGGGGCACCAGAGGCCTGCCAGGGGCACTACAGGCCTAGCAAGGGCACCACTGGTCTATCAGGGGCACCACGAGCCTGTCATAGCCATGCATCTCAGGCTTGTCAAGGCCCAGGGGCACCACAGGTCTGTGAGGGGCACCAGCGACCTAGCAGGGGCACCAGTCAACACAGGTCTGCCAGGGGCGCCACAGACCTGCCAGGGGCACCACAGACCTGTCAGAGGCACCAGAGGTCTGCCAGGGGCACCACCGGCCTCGCAGGGGCACCTTGGGCCTGTCAGGGGCACCACGGGCCTGCCGAGGGGCACTTCAGACTTTTCAGGGGCACCAGTCCTCTCCGGGCGCAGGGGTACCAGTGGCCTAGCAAGGGCACCAGAGGCCTGCCAGGGGCACAAGCGGCCTAGCAAGGGCACCAGAGGCCTGCCAGGGGCACCACAGGCCTAACAAGGGCACCACGGGCCTGTCAGGGGCACCTCAGGCTTGTCAGGGCCCAGGGACACCACAGTCCTTCCAAGGGCACCGCAAGCCTGTCAGGGGCACCAGAAGCCTGCCAGGGGCACCACAGGCCTAGCAAGGGCACCACTGGCCTGTCAGGGGCACCTCAGGCTTGTCAGGGCCCAGGGGCACCACAGTCCTTCCAGGGGCATTACAAGCCTGTCAGGGGCACCAGAGGCCTAGCAATGGCACCACAGGCCTGCCATGGACACCACAGGCCTGCCAGGGGCACCACCGGCCTTGCAGGGGCGCCTCAGGCCTGTCAGGGGCACCACGTGCCTGCCGGGGACACTTCAGGCTTGTCAGGGGCGTTACAGTCCTGCCAGGGCCCAGGGGCACCAGGCCCGTGGTGTCCCTGCTAGGCCTGTGGTGCCCCTGGCGGTCCTGTGGTGCCCCTGTCAGGACTGTGATTCCCCTGATAGGCCGGTGGTGCCCCTGGCAGGTCTTTGGGCCCCCGGGCCTCAAGGGGGGGGCCATGACCCATGTGACCCCCCCCTTGGATCCGCCCCTGATCTTGACAAAGTTGACTCAAAAAACAACAGATCAAAATTGGATTCATAGTATGCGCATTGGTGACATAAGCAGCTGTTCAAAAAACCTGTGCAAGAATAGGTGCATTTCGGTGCTGTTCTAATTGGTTCATAGAAAAGATGCTACGTCATTTAATTGGTAACAGCATGGTAACAGCAGCACCCACCCAGCGTGTCAGAGTTTTTGAACAGCCCATTGACCATTGGGTTTGCGAAGTTCTTTGCCACGTCGAGCGCGGGAGCACCTAAAGCTGAAAAGTGTGGACGAAGGGGGTGTGTGGAGGGGTTTCAGTTTGGGTTTGGATACTGACAACTCAATTTGGTATTGAATTGGTAGGTGGGCAGACAGGGAAGGAACTGTTAAGTTTTACGGAAGATAGTGTGGCTCATTATCCGTATGTGTTTGAAATAACTTGTGGAGGGTTTATGAATTGCACCCTACTCGCCTTAGTGGAGAACATAGCCGAAGGGATACGTCTTCAAAAATAAGGTGGGTGAATATTAATATCAGTGAAAATTGCCTTGACTCCAACTCATAGATTGGGCAAAGTAGCAAGGTGTCTAGGGACAATGCAAACAGCTATAAAAACGACTAACAAGAGAGGGGAGTGGGTATGTTTTGGATGGCAGGATAGCCGGTAAATGTTAAGAAGCACGGTGAAGATAAAAAACATTATAACCTGAAAGAACCTTATCTACTGACCTACAACCAGACTGGAAAAAATACATATTATGCTGAATATGTCCGGCGTAGTGGTGGGATCGTGCCGAAAATTTCAGTGCACGTCCAGTCCAGCCTAACTTCTCATGCCCCAAATTCAGCGCATTGCGGCGTACAAATTTTTCGGCGCCGCAGGACTGAGGGCGGTCGCATAATTTTCTTGGCGAAAGATGGTCACCGAATTTATGTGGTATGCTGGTCAATCTAGCAGCAGATTAGCCCCGCGGGCGGCTCTGGAATGGTTCCTCCCCACCTCGGTCGTTGCGTGCCCGAACTGGCAAGCTGCCCTGAGTCTACTCCGCGGAGGAATGGCCGCCCAGGGGCCAGGTGAGGCCTCAGCCTTTGGCGTAGAGATAGGCATGGAAAACCTTTTTGAACGTCGCCAAGCGTCGTCAAGCAATAGCAGTGGGTTCCTGCCCACTGCAGTATCGAGGGGAATGAGAGCGCGGACTACCTGGCAAAACAGGCGGCCGCCCTGCCCTCAAATGCCCGCTCGCTGACCAGGGCGACATTGGCGGCCTGGCATCAGTGGCGCGACAACTGCTCAGTATCACTATTCAAACCACTCTTCGGGAGCATGCCGCCGCTCTCTATCCCCGAAGAGGACCGAGAGGATGCCATTTCGGTGCATCAGATGAGGGCGGGCCACCGGGGCCGCTCGATCCAGTACGGCACCGAATCGGCTCAGGCTGTTTCCACTCCCCCGCGTGCCAGCAGTGCCCAGACAAGCGGTGCCCAGCGGCGCTCTGCAGTCTGCACCGTGAGCCGAGAAGAGGCTGATGTGCCGGAGCACGTGCTGATCCGCTGCCCGGCCCTCGCTGGCTCCCGCCGAGGTTTACGTGGAAATAAAAAACTCATTTGGACGCTCAAACATGGGAGAGCGTACAAGGCCCCGAAACACTCTGTCTAGTCTGTCTGGTTGATATAGCCTTGATCAGTAGATGTGCACATGTGCTTTATAAGAAAAGGGCTTAATTTTCGCACAAATAGGCACCTAATTTTTGGCACAAATGACGCAGAAATTTCGGCGCAAAATCGCTTGCGCCGAATTTCGGCGCAAGAGGGTCTCACGGCCGTCCGGCGTAGTGTATGGATGTTTTCCAGTCTGGACCTTCAACATTGGGTAAGGGTTGCGCAGGCATGATCAATAGCTACAGCGGTGTAAACAGTTAAGATTGGTATATTCAATATTATAAGTGTATTGACATGGATTGGAAGCACTGATGAATTGAATGACATCATTAGATTATGAAAAAGTCTCTAGAGAACGTGTCAAGCGGGACATAGTGGGACTTAGCTGATTACAGGGGAGCAAAGTGGGACTCAGCCAACTACTGCAGGGCATAGTGCGACTCAGCCAACTACAGCGGGACAAATTGGAACTCAGCCGACTACAGCAGGACATATTGGGACTCAGCCGGGTCCAGCGCCCAGCGGGACAAAGTTTGACTCAGCCGGTCCCAGCGGGACACAGTGGGACTCAGCCTGCTCCAGTGGGACAGTGATTTGATGTCTAATGATTTAGCATAAAGAGACCATATGTATTCAAGTGTTGTGTTACTTTTCCAGCTGATAATGGTGTTTTTCTTTCCTTTGAGGTCTTTATTTTGTGATTTCTTGAATTTCAGGATGGGACAAAACTAAAAGTAGAGCATTATGATGGCTTATTGATTTATAAGGATGAAACTCGTGCCTTAACCCTCGCCGGACCTATTGCCTTTCTACATATGCGCTTGCCGAGGGGGGCGGGTACGACCCCCTCGCCGTTTTGCCCCTAGTGGAGCCAGCGCGTCGCGGAAAAAATGAGCCTGTGCGCCGTTACGAGCCGCAGATATTGATACCCGATTTTAAGGTCCTAGGTCAACTGGTGACCTCTGAGGTCAGGTCAAGTGTCCCAAGGTACAGTTTCGTTTTTGGTGAATAACTTCGCAAAAAACGGCCGCAGAGCCGCGATTTTGGCAGCATCATGTTTGCCTAGCTCAGGCGCGTCGAATGATATACTTTTTATTTGGGTGAGGTTAACTTACGGTGTTGACCTCAGGTCACGGTCAGGTCAGCGCCCCCAGGTCACGAAATTGGTCGAAGTTGGTCATGTTGCATATCATTCGATTCGTCAGGTGTTCCTGAGTCCATTGGTGGCCTTCCCGACTCGCTTGCTCAATTTGATCGGGAGTTATTGACGAAAAACTAATATGACCCTAATGACGTCATGAATGACGTCACGCAAGGTCAACATTGCAAAAGTGACGCAGGTAACATTGCAAGGAGTGCATCAAATCACGATTCTGTGTGCTTGAGATAGTTGGAGATCGTTCCCGGCGCCAGAATAGCAGTTTTCATTTTCCCCATTGACTTATAATGGTGAGGTCACCAAACTGACCGACCTCATATGACCTTTAGGAAAAATCCGAGATATACAAGTTGTGAGACTCGTAATGGATATTAGATCCTGCAAGTTTCATTTCCCTGTGAAAACCCCTCTGGCAGTGAGGGCGTTGCGAAGTTGCGACATCTGAAGACCGTGCAGAGGTTTACTTAGGACGTCATAGGTCAGTGACCTGACCTGACCCGAACATGCGGTTGGTGTCAAAAGATCCGGCTTGAATCAAAGGTCAGGTTTGCCAAGTTTCAGCTCTCTATCACCAGCGTGTTAGGAACTATCGCGAAAAAAAATCCAATTGGGGGGTGGCACCCCCCGCCCCCCCTCGGCCGGCGAGAGTTAAGAAGACTTAATTCAACACTTGATGTTTAAAATCATAAGAACAGTTTAGATAGGTGCCAAAGACTATGTTCTTTGGATCAATTCCTGTAATAGAACCCTTAAAGCATGCCCCGACAATGACCCTGATCTCCTTTGTGTAGGACTGGCATCCCTGTGCTTAGGAGTCAGGGCCCTATGTACATATTCTTGACCATTTAGCATTGCCTATTGGGGGCATTATTTGTGTCTGCCTGCTGTCCTGCCTGCTGTTCTGACTGATGAGCCATCTTGCAGAGCGGCGCCGTCCGTTCCCGCGCCTCTCGCCGCCTGTCAATGCACTCCAGGATGGGCCCGTCGCGCGGTCACCAGCGTATTCTGGTGACGGTGGCCGTACTGGTGGCCCTGGCCGGCGTGGTGCAGTTCTGGCGACTGCGGACAGTGAACGCCGACCTCACCAACCAGCTGGTGCGGGTGGAACGGCTCCTGCAGGAAGCGTGAGTTCGGGGATGGGGACTATGGCTGGGGCGGGTTGCTGAACATTGACTATTGGCTGCTTTATGGTTTTGATGGATGTAGTTAGCTGGTGTGAATTTTTCGCGGCGAAACAGGGTGAGTTGGATACTAAAGAGATCTTAGGTGAAGTAATTTTGAATTAGTACCTCAGTAATTGTCTGTAAGTGTCTCGCATTTTTTTTTTTTAGCGTAACTCTGTAAAAGGAGTCTTAGCCGCCTTAATTCAGTGCACTACTATCACACTTGTTTATCCTTAATGTTGATAATAATATCTGCTGAATGATCGTTAACGACTCGGTGACAAGTTTTCAACGCAAGTTTCTTTCTGCCTATTTCAGCGAAAAGAAATCTTCAATGATCGACTCGCAAAGGAAAGAAACATCCGAAGACCTCAAGAAAGTAAACGCCAAACTACAACAGCTCCAGATCACAAAAGACGAGGATTCCATGAGATGCAAGCAGCTTCAGGAAGACATGGAAGAGATAATGGAGAAAAAGTCGGCCCTTCAAAAGGAGCTGGATGACGATAAAGCCACCCATGTAAGGGGGATGACCTGGCGCAGACTGTATTCTTCCGTGTTTTCATGTCTTCCGATTATTATCATTTTTCTGACAAATTATTCAATTCCCACAGCTAAATGACAACATTGAAGACGAGTGAGGATGCAATGCGGCACCTCATACCTTACCTTATGCACGTGGTGATGTCTCTACTTTCCTTGCGGTTCGATTGGACCACGAATAGATGCGGTGGAACTCAGGACAGTATCGCTCTTGCTCCCCCTTCCCCGGACAGTGTGTGAAATGCAGTACGATTATGGGACTGTACAGCCGTCTACCCTTTCCCATGGCTGGTATATTGAGACAATGGCTACGTTTCCATGGCACAAGCTAAGCCGATTTTGAAAAATGGATTTGCTCCATCATAGCATTTAGACATAATTTTAAAATGTAAATATAGGATTAGGTGCTAGCTAAAACCATATACACGCTCATTTTTTGCATGAAGTAAATAGTTTCCGAGAAAAACGCACGTGAAATTTCGCTAAATCAATTTAGACGTGTCATGGAAACGTAGTCAATGTGAGCCAGTGAGATAGTACAGTATGTTAGTGTAACAATGAGCCCCTCCCCCGTCCCTCAGAACGGCGAGCTGCACGACATGGCCAGTAAGCTGAAGACGCTGCAGTTGGAGCTGACGGAGAACCGGCGTCAGAGCGACGCCGAGGTGGCCGCACTCCGCCAGCAGCTAGCCGAGGCCGAGCAGACGGTCGGCGACGCCTCCTCGTGCCGCGCTCAGCTGACCCATGTAAGGCCGCCGCGCCGGCTGGAGAGACACTGGGATCCAGGTGGAGACACTGGGGTCCATGTGGTGACAATGGGATCCAGGTGGTGACACTGGGGTCCAGGTGGAGACACTGGGTACCCGGTGGAGACACTGGGATCCAGGTGGAGACACCTGGGATCCAGGTGGTGACACTGGGATCCAGGTGGTGACACTGGGGTCCGGGTGGTGACACTGGAGTCCAGGTGGTGACACTGGTATCCAGCTACTGGCATTGTGCGCTGACTCCGACACTGATACACCCGACACCCTCAATGGCCGTACCACTCGCCACACACACACACTTCCTTTCTCGCCAGTCTGAGAATTCCGTTCGCTGAAACCACTGTTCAGGCTGATATTGATGCTGACGTTGCCGCTTGTTCCTGCCTTCAGGCGCAGACGGAGCTGATCAAGTGCCAGTCGATGCCGGCTGTCCAGCCGGCGGCCCCCAGACAGCCGGGCACCGCCGGCTCCGGCCCCGCCGCCGCTGCAGTCGTCCCCGGTGAGTGCGTCTAGATGGTTGGACTGTTTGGTTAGCAGATCCAGCAGGCAGTGCGGATAGAGTTGAGCACTGATTGCATTTTAACGTGAAGCGTACTTGGATATGATTGATGTGCCGTATTGTTAACATCAGAAGTAACTTACTTTGGATGAACATGGTCTGATCAAACATATATGGCTGGTACATGGTAATATAGTGTTCGTTGTTCTGGAACAATTAGTGTTGTTGAGCATGGTCTCATCCATTGTGTATGCAGTTAAAAGTTTCTCGTCTCTGGCAGGTGATAACGGTTCCAAGTGGCCCGGCCTGGTCGCCCCGAAGCCTCAGCTGGGTCAGCAGCTATTTGAGAGCGCCGGCCTGTCGGGAGGGTTTCAGCAGGCGCAGGGCCAGGTGGTCGCCGCGCGCCGCGTGCTGCCCACGCCGCCGGGCGCAGCGGCCGCGGCCGCCGGCCCAAAGTCCAGCAGCTCGACGTCCAGCGTGAGGCCGGCCGTGGCTGACGCGCTGGAGACGCTCGACAAACCGCAGGGCGGGGAGGTGAGCGTCGCTGACTGTGAGCGGTGCGGGGCTGTGCTTAGTGCTGGTGTGGTAACATGACCATCCGCTGCTGGTCAGTTCGGCATGAACATATTCCTAGATGGGGTATCATTCATAGAAAACATGATGAGTGTTGGCTTTAATTAACAAACTACCCGATGTGACGTCTGTCTTGACATTTCGTCGTGTCCCATGCTGTGCTCACACTATGAGTGACTTGCTTCGACGAATTAGTTGCGTCGGAACACCTACTCCAAGCCTTAATTTTCCCCCTGGTCCCGTTGTTTGAGCACACCATTCACTCAGTTTAAGTTCGTGCCTACCGTTGAACATCATCGGATGTGTGATTTTCCATGTTAGCATTCTGTGTTTGACTGTGACGCCGTTTTGGCGTCCCTCAGGAGGCGGCAGAGGGGGCCGGAGCACTGGCGGCGGAGGGGGCAGGAGTGCTGGCGCCGCCCCACCAGCTGCCCGAGCGGCAGGAGGAGAAAGAGGAGGAGGAGGGAGGAGAGGGAGAGCAACAGGAGGAGGGCGACCAGGACGGAGACGGCGGCATCCAGTACCCGATGGATGATGGTAAAGGTGAGGCTGGGACGGCCCGGGAGGAAGAGAATCCCCATTGACAGAGATGTGAGCACAACAACTTTAAATGGCACTACACCGGATGCCTGCAATCAATTTCAGTGCCCGTTCCGGACGAAGTGCGGTTGTTAGGCAGTGGTCGGTTGTGCTACCTGGCTTGATACCAGTCCCTGTGGTATGGTTTAAATTGGGCAAATGATGCCGTTCCGTCGGTCTGTTATCTGCTTGAAACTTATCACTCATTTTTTCCAATTACTAGCACCAGAAAAGGGTGACTTTTGTCCAACTGTAAAGTAGCATGTAAATTGAGTTAGTAAAGTTACGCTAGTAAACATGAAACATCTGCACACCGTCTTGTTTACGCCGCCTCCCGCGACATCTGCCCTCGCTCTGACCGGTGTGTACTGTCCCTCACCGCCGAGCAGCAGACGCGATGGACGACCATCCCGATACTGACAACGAGGCCAAGGACGCCGAGCTCATCAAGGGCCTGAAGGAGCTGTCCAACAAGAGCGGCCAGGGCGCCGACCAGCAGCCCGGGCCGGCCGAAGGTCAGTCTGTGGTCTAGTCATGGGTGATGGTTCGGTAGGTAAGTCAGTTCGGTAGGGCAGTCAGTTCGGTGATACAGTCACATCGGTGGGTCAGCCAGTTCAGTTAAATGCAGTGCAGTCAGTTCAGTAGGCCAGCCAGTCTGGTGATTCAGTCAGTTCGGTAGGTTACTCAGTCCGGTAGGTCCGGAGGTCAGCGCGGAGGGCATGTGGGCTGTGCTGGGGTGATAGTGGAACCACTGGAACCCCCTGTGGTCCTCCTATTGACGGGGAGGTGAGGATGTGGTGGCCTGCGTCGATTAGTTGCGTTACCAAGCTGTATGCTGACGCCCTGTCCCGTGCCGCCGAATCCCTATGAGCGTCCCGTTGTATCCCGTAGTTATCCTGGCCGATGTCGTCTGCTGACACCCTGTGTTTCGTCTGGATGTCCATTGTCCGCTGAATCACTTTGTCACCTGTGCACTGACGCCCTGTGTCCTCATGTCCTGTCCGCCTGGTGTCCTGTCCTTTGGCGCCTTGTGTCCTGTCCTTTGGCGCCTTGTGTCCTGTTCGCCGTCCGTTGACGCCGTGTCCTGTCCGCTGACACCTTCTGTCCACTGTCTGCTGACACCTTCTGTCCACTGTCCGCTGACGCCTTTTGTCCACTGTGTCCACTGTCGACTGACGCCCTCTGTCCTGTCCCCTGCTGCAGGTGAGCTGTCCGGCCCGGAGATGGTGGGCGCCGTGCCGCCGCCGGACCTCACCGGTGGGGTCCAGCCGCATCTGCCGCTCCGATAAACTTTCGACGGCGTAGACTCGGCGCGTGATGTCACTGGTCGACTACTGACGTCAGCGGTGGCCGGCCTGTGACGTCAGCGGTGGCTGTCTGCCCAGGCTCGGCGCGTGGAGTTACTGGCGGCCTGGTGACGTCAGTGGTGGCTGGCCTGTGACGTCACTGACGATCTGGTAACGTCAGTGGTAACCGGTCTGTGACGTCACTGGCGGACTGGTGACGTCAGTCGTGGCCGGCCTGTGACGTCACTGGTGGACCGGTGACGTCAGCGGTGGGCGGCGGCGGGCGGTGCGAGGCGCCGTGTCCGCCCCATATGACCAGCCGCCGCCCTATCCGCTGTAGTACCGGTGAACTGTGAGGCGCTGGCAGTGTCCGCGGCTCCGAACTGGACACCACAAGTGCCTGGCATGTGTTGTGAGTGTGACTGCCGGCAGCAGAGAGCCTCGCTGGATGAACGATGCGGCCCGCGCTGACGGTGCCCGCACGAACAGAGATTATTCAGCGGAGCCGGGGGGTTGTGCCTAATGACAGGCACTGGCTGGCGTCTGGGCGGTGTTTCACCGGACGCTGCTACCACGCTGCTGTCGCATTTCGCGAGCTGACGTCACAGATTGTGGCAGTGTTGAAGATTTGGCACGTTTACTGGCAGCGCGCTAGCAGCGGCCGTTTAACACCGCCCTGGTATCTCGTGTCTGAGTGATGGATCGGCATTTTTTGGCATTGCTAACTCATTTTACACTTGACATTCTTTCTGATCTCTTCGCTCTGGGTCGGGAGTTCGGTTGGACCTTTCACACTCGTTGCAGCCGATTTGTCTGAATACAGCTAGAGGTTAAGAAATATCATGAATGCCGCTCTGATTGACGCTGGACGCCTTGTTATGTTACAATTCATATCAGTTATGTTTCTGATTGGCCAGGGTATGCTATGTTAGTTCTAGAATGAATTTGCTCGTCTGATAACTTAAATTTGTGTCATTTTGCTGATTGATTGATGTCGCTTGTGCTCACGCCAGTTGTGCATTTACAGCGGGTAAGTTTGCGCGTCCCGCCTCGTTTGAGGTTATTTTATTCCAGATCCGCTGAACAGAGGAATGTTTCCGAAAGCTGTGGCCAGAAAGCACCGCACACGGTCATGGACCAACTCGCTGTATGATATAATTTATTTTTAGTTTAGGTAGAGTCCTTTACCGACAAATATTCCGGCGTGCGCAAAGACGTGGACAGTTTCATGCAGCAAACTGCTGCTTGTGTGTGGTTTCTGCACAGTTGGACGGTGTTACGTGATATCGATGTTGTTGGGTGGCGTGAAGTTTTACGTGCAGTATGATAATATGTCCGTCGCTTTCTTATAATGGACTACTCACTTATTTGAGAAGACGTGGATCAATAAAGTTGTTTGCATTCGTATAGTGTGGCAGTTGTATTGGTATGAAATAATTATGTGACGACGACGGTTCAGGGTCAGGTGGCGAGTAGTGTCTCCTGAATTTAGGACGGGAGAGGGCTTCAATCAATGTGTCATTACTTATGGGTACATTTTTCAGTGAATAAGTTCAGGCAAAGTCGCACTGACTTGTTCTTTAGCCAGAGAGAAAACAAGCTCGCTGAATTACGCTGAGCAGTAACAAGAACTGAATAATGCGATTGCTCACTGCTTCCTGATGGGACTGAGAAGACTGGTCAAAGCTACGCCACTCAATAGGGACCATGGCGAGCGAACAATCCCGTTAAAATGAGCAGTACCTAAGTCGCTGCATGAGCGCGCTGTAATATGACCAACAGGAAGAAACAGCTCCCGGGGCAGTGCTCCCGGTCTGACATCTGGCGAATAAAGTCAAAGCATTCCTATGTAGATGGTGCTAGTGAGCCGTGTCTTGGGTGCATGGTGGCTTATAGTCATGACGGGGTAACCGGACCAAAGATCGTAAAGCGAAGATCGTAAGCTAGAAGATCGTAGGAAGTTGATCCTATGCAACATATCGCAATGGATAAAGATCGTACGACATAATGCTCCTATGGACAAAAAATAGTATTCGCTAAAGATCGTCAAGGAAAATGATCGTAGGTATGCCAAAAAGTCGTAGGTATGGGATAAAGATCGTATTCGTAACTCTGCTCCTCCCTCCCAAATTTATAATAATGTTCGTATGGACGAAAGATCGTGTTCGCAAAAGATCGAACGTCTGATATTTGACCTTGGCTCAAGGGGCAAAATTTACCAAAATAGACGATATTTGCGGACGGTTTTTTTCTGCAATAGGTACATTTTTACTCACACCTTGCACGAGCTTACTGTTACTAGCATCGTTTCCTCTTGTCAAAACGCATCATATGAACAATAATTTGACCTTAAAAGGTCAACATGCAAATTTTACCTCAGGTCAAGGTCATTACCTGACCTGAAAGGGTCATGCTCCATATCAGACGACTGTCGATCCGTATCGTCGAGCTGAACACATCTAAGGTGTTTTCGTCGCTCTAGCACGCCTCTATTTGAAAGCTATTCACGAAAAGCTGCTAGATACCATTCGTGACCTGAGATGACCTCAGGGACATGGTCACGGGTGCCAGTTTCCAGTTCAGTGTGTCATGGGTGTTTGAGAGCGCTTGGAATGACGTTCGTCCAAAAGAGGCGTCTTTAAACTTTCTCCCATTGAGTTCATGAAGAGGTGTGACCTCCCTCTGAGAGATCATATAATTGACCTGTCCAATGCCTTATATTCCATACTTTGTAAGTAGGTCCCTAACATGCTTTAACTGAACCAAAAAACAAGTTCTATCACGGCCAACGTGCTTTTCACGTTAAAAAGCACTCCCTCGCCAGGGGCCAAAGAGTACGTACCTATAGCCATATTTTCGATAAAATAACCTATGTCTTGTGAAAGCCTACCTACGAGCGTATTTTTTTTCAAGCAAACAGGCGTTGGCATGACTTTTAGCTAGGACGGAGAAGGCGGGGTAAGACGGCCCAGCGGGGCAAGACGGACCATCAGCCTTCCCGGCTGAACCACTGCTGCTATCTGCTGCTTTGTGCACTCACTTCCTTTGTTTTCCGTCGTACTACCAATAGCCACCTTGAGCTCTTAGGGCCAGGATGCATAGATTTTGAGCTATTGAGAAAAATGGAATTTTTCGTCAAACCAATCTAATATGAGAGGCCTAAGGACGATTTAAAATGACAGCGCCTTTCGAGTTTCGTGCATGATTAGTATTTATTTGCAACTGTGAAGAACAATCTTAAAGTCACACTTTAGGACAAGCAAGGTTTCGCAATATTGGGCGATTTAACATATACCTACTTAACCATAATGACAGAATTTAGGTTTGAGGCAAGACGGACCACAGTGCTTCATAGTTCATCTTACCCTGTAGCTGTTCATTTTACCCCGAATATGAACAGTTTTGCTAAAACATTGACGTAAGCTTAAGAAGTAAGCTATGTTTTTCAGGAAGGAGTCTTTGTTGCATGTGAGCTATTCATGCAAGTGCTTAACTATAAAGCACTTGTGCATAAGTGCTTTATAGCATGCATTCATTCCAAACGACAATCAACACACAGGTTCCAAGCTTTTAGTTGCACTTCTATCACACATGTAAAGCATAAAGGCACAATTTGTTATTTTACCACTCTGGTTATTTCTAGGTACTTACAAGAGTATACAGTAGAAGCGTAACACACATGAATGGATAGCAGGCACTGCTGGGTGGTCCGTCTTACCGGCCGCGTTTTTCTTGTCGTTAATTTTGACAATAGGTATCTCCGTTTATGAGCAGCCACCACCTAAATTTCTTTGAGCTGAAATTTAGTCTTCGCACATATCGAAAGAGGACGGATTGAGCATTCTAAACAGTATGAGTAACAAGAGGAGTGTAGTAAGATATGCGGCCTTCAAACCTGGTCCGTCTTACCCCACCTTCCCCTATTCATCATCGACTCTAGACTCCGACTTCGGTTAAACTGTAAACTCTGACAGACTACGTCTGCCACTTCGACTCCGGTACCCTGAACTTTTGACGATCTATCGAAAGCAAAGCCGCTTACCTCTTTTCGCTAGGTGGCTCGAGAGCCGTGTTACACGGGCGTGAAAACTCCCATCCCTTCTCCCACTTCCGGAAACAAAAAAGATTTCAGCAGCAACGGAGTTAACTTTTCCCCATTTTTTCTTTTAATTTGTGTAGGTACCCAAGTGACTCTATCTACGTTACGTAGTAAAGTCATTAGTCACAAAGCAGGTAGGTAGGTCGGACTATTTGATATTTGATATTGACTACCTAGAGGTACCTATACCTTTATACCTATTTGCAATTCTTTCCGCGTTGATAAGTCGTCAGCTCAGATTATATATCCAGGTCAACGTTTTCGCTCCAAAACTTTCAGTGGGCGATCTATCAAACTATCGAGATAAGAACACATTGCCTTTTGATGATTACCTTTCTTATATCCTATACAATTGCATACCTATGCCCACGTCAAAATGATTAAGACGTGGTTAATAAGACGTGGCTGGCTAAATAAGAAACGATTATAAATTATTATCTTGGAATCACCTACCCATGTCATGCCCGATGCAACAAGCACTCCCCATTCCCCACATACAAACGTCGGTTCCCGGTATCAGCCATTTTATGACTTTCGACTGGGCCGAATCACAGAGCTCAAAGACCGGAACTAAACGGTTTGAGTCAACTACCTTTGACGATATTCGACATCCGTAACTTTCACCTGGCCCGGTCTCCCTACCGGCGCGGCGGCTCTATACAGTTGGCGTCGAGGCATCGGGCCCTCCCGGCGCCCGCTAATCCCTAAATTGGCGGCGGCGGCGGCGGCGGCAGCGGCGGCGCGGCCAAGGCGCGGCGACGACCATCGGCGGGCGCCGGCGCCGGTCATTGGTCGGCGCCCACAGGCCCCGCCCCCACGGCCGGTCGGCGGCGGCGGGTCCCGTCAGCGGACCGCACAGAAGGTACAGAGCGCTGGTGAAGAGAGGAGTAGAGAGACACCCCGGTGACTGAGAGATGTTTGAAGACGGCGGTGCGCTGCAGTCGATCGAGGCTATGTGCAAGGACATCGATAGCGGAGGTGAGTGCACGGCGCAATATTCTTGGAGAGACCGCGGCGCCATTTGCTTTTGACGTCTAATTTAGCTGATTTCAGAAGGACTTTCAGGCTCAGTGACTTTCATTGCGATTGGACCAGGTCAAACTTTTTGTTTTGGAATTCATAAGTTTTCGGAAAAGGTTGTATGAATAATTAGCTAGCTCGAACTGTCAGAAAAAAGGCATTTCTCTGTCTTGTAGGTATCTGTATGTCGGCACTGGCCGGTCGGACTGACGGTCGTCCTCCCCCCGCAGTGGAGATGGACTCCCCGCGCCTGGTGACTCCCCCGCCGGTGTCTCCGGCCGTCTCGGACTCAGCCGAGCCGTCTGCCGCCACCCGGCGACTCTCCGGCGACGACTCGGGCAGCAGCAGCGACTCGGGCTCGGCGGCCGGCGGCGGCTCGGCGGCGCGCCGGCCGGCCCGCACCGTGTTCTCGGCCGGTCAGATGGCCGCCCTGGAGACAGAGTACGCCGCCAACCGGTACCTGAGCACGCCGCAGCGCCGCCAGCTCAGCCAGCGGCTCGGACTGGCAGAGGCCACTGTCAAGGTCTGGTTCCAGAACCGGCGCATGAAGGAGAAACGCCAGCAGAGCGAGAGCCAGATGCACTACCTGAGCCACGTGATGCAGTCGTACATGTACCAGCTGCAGTGTGCCGGTGTGATGACGCCGCTGCAGCCGGTGCCGCTGCCGGCCGCCCCCGCCCCCGCCCCCGCCCCCGCCCCGGCCGTCCGCCGACCGGTGACCTCGCCGGTTGACCTGTGCCGACCGCGGGTCAGGCCGCACGGCGACCTCTTCAGGCCCTACGCCCTGTAGAGCCACCGTCGCTTGCTACCACTGTGTACTTTGCATGTCAAGCTTATTTGCCGTTTGCCTGTGCCATAGTCACTTTAGCCTGTGAAATGTTGCCACTGCATACCACATGTATCGATCACCGTATGTATGTACTGCATGTCCGCAATGTGTGTACGGTGGAGAGAAATTCCTCGTTGTTCCCCGATCTGCCCGATATACCCAAGACTATAAACTGCGACCGTCGCTGAGCCGGTCCGACCATACCCGGGCTGACCGGGGCCGTACGGGCCGTGACGTCATCCCATCTCGGGGAAGGCGGTGACGTGTCACGGGCCAGGAATGTCACTCGAAATGTGACGCACCGTGCGCCGCGTCAGTCAGCGTGCGTCACTGTTCGCCGCCGCGCCGGCTATCACTGGAGATGGACCAGTAACTGCGTGTTACTCGATATAGACGTTTATGTGTGAGATATTGTACCTGTTCCTACCCATAGGTTTGACGACGACCATATTGTGATGGTTGATTGGTTGTAACTGTAAATACCCTGTTGATGTAGGGAGATGATATGTTTTGTTATAGATGCCAATAAATTTATTCTTGTACCCACAGACGATCGTTTTATTCGAGCCACAGCTTTAGATAAATTTTCGGGAAGAAATGGGAGGAAACAACCAATACAATTAAAAAATATATTTCTCCGATCACGCAGCTTGGACATACACGAATCGGTAGACGAGAAAACCAACGAACGAGACTTTGACTGACTGATATTGTCCACGAGTCTCGGCTTCTGCATAAAACCGCCAGACCCCGCTCCCCTCCTATGCCTGTGACTGTAAAGGGACAAACCAACTCCGCAGACTACTCACGTCTAGCCAGACCAGCAGACCGTGCCAGATTCACACGGCCCGTCAGTTCCTGTCGCCGTCTTCTGTCGACCGTCGGCGGCGACACTCCACAGTCCGTCCGTCGTCGTCGTCGGCGGCGACACTGCACAGTCCGTCGTCGTCGTCGGCGGCAGCGGCGCCAGAGCTTTTATCGTCGGACTGATTGATGGTGGTGTCGACGGCGGCCTCTCTCACGGTGTCGACGGCGGTCCCTCTCTCTAGTCTCCCTCTCTCTCCCTTTCTCTCTCTCCCTCTCTCTCTTTCTCTCTCTCTCTCTCTCACTCTCTCTCTCTCTCTCTCTCTCTCTCTCTCTCTCTCTCTCTCTCTCTCTCTCTCTCTCTCTCTCTCTCTCTCTCTCTCTCTCTCTCTCTCTCTCTCTCACGGTGTCGACAGCCGGGGTATAGTCGAAGTCGACGAGACGCGGTGATGCCGAGGGCCGAAGAAAATGTACGGGCCGTGGCGTTCACCAGACCAGTCTCAGACAGACGCAGGTGGCGGCAGGATCAGAGCAGGGACACACCAAATGACCAGCTGAGGGGCAGGAGGGAGTGGCGTGGCCTAGCAATCTGCACCATCGCATGGCCCTATGAGCTCCCGATAAAGTGATAAACGTTACCAGCTGTCTACGCTATTCCCTCCCACTCCTTCCATCTTCACGAAGTTCATCAGGCACAGCCAGCCCTCAGCAGAATCACAGAACCTCTAACAATCCCACGGCAGCCCCCACGGCAGCACACAGCATCCCTCAGCAGCCCACGGCAGCTCCAGCAGCACAAGTCTCCCCGGCAGCACTGCCCGCCAGCCCACGGTGCCATAAATACCAGCGTATAGGGGCGGCGTCCGCCGTTACTGCACCATTACCGGCCGTGGTGGGACGCCGCGCGCCCACACAGGACGGTTGTGCGCCGTACGTACCTATACGCGCCGCTTCTGCCGCCGTGCGCACGGCAAGCGCCGCATTTGCCGCCGTGTGCCGTGCGCGCCGCTGTAGGTGCCGTTCTCCAAAGGTGTCACCAACATGGCGGACTGGCACTGGCTATACGATAGGAATGGCGCACCTGAGCCTGGGGCGATGATTTTGACCCGGCGTAGGCTTTGTCTATTAGGATGGCGTGTCATAGGAATGTGTGCTAATCGGAAAGGCGATCCTGTTGCCCAATTACAAGTCAATGCCAGACTGCAGTACCATTACGGCGGCGGTTTACCTACCGCAGATGAATAAATGAGCTCGAGCATAACGGTGGAGCGGTCGCCGCCACTACAAGACGAAAACTATTTACTGCCGTCTTTACCTCGGATGACGTCACTCGTGACGTAACGTGCGCCGATCAGGCCTCTCTATTTGTTTCCAAATGAAGCTGCTTAATAGCAGCCACGGCAGCGCTAATTGAAAGAAAGCCCGGCCACGATTGGACATAAATCCGTGAGGAGCCGACGGTGCCTATAATTTGTGTCCGACACTTTTATATCAGGCCAATGAAGAAGGGCGCCGGCGGCGGTCCTACCGCGGTCCTATCGTGGTCCAACAGTGGTCCGGTGGCGGTCCGGCCGTGGTCCGGCGAAGGTCTTTTGGCGGTCCGGCAGAGGTCATACCGATTTTCGGTCCGGCAGTAATGAGGTAGTGGTTCAACGCCGGTCCGGAGGTGACTTAGTCAAACTTCTTCAACTGAAGCTCATTGCTGTTTTTTGGGAAATAAAAATACCATAGTGGCCCTATATTGCCAGCCGGGAATGCGATTTGCACGACGTAAACTGCAGTTTATACAGTTTGAATAAACAAATAAAATGTTTGCGGTGCGTATCAAAACGTTCTGTCGATGTCTGACCTATGTCTGACCTGGTGCGACACGCTTGGCACTTCCTGTTTCCAAAGAACACAACGAAATTAAGGGGGATTAGCCACGCCATTAAGTGACTTGATCACACGACAATTTTCCGTCTGGCCGCGCCGGCTCTGTCTCAGACATTCTGCACGTGCCGTGAGGGGGATCAGAGGACACCGCCGGCCATCAGAGCAGGGGCGGCGCCACGGGTTTTCGATAGGGGGGGACGGGGACCTTGCCTGACCGAAAATCCCAAAAGTAGATACTGATCGTGTATGAAAAAAAAAAACGAGGCACGTAACGCCGCGAAACTTGGCAAAGCCCAAAACACATCGAATGGTGCATCCCGTTTCCAAACTTATCCTAAGGGCACCTAAGATCGATCACCTTTTCAAGCATCCTTGCCTCTAAATCAAAATTTGCAGTCTTGCCAACTCAAAGCTGGTTTCCTACAAGCTGCGAATTGCTTAGGTATATGAGTAGCAGTGCCAACTATTCTTACGTTTCGTACTTTCAAATTTTCGATCTTACGTCTGGTCAGCTTTATGGTTTCACCATCAAATAGTCATGGAGGAAAAGTGGGAATGTCTTCTGCTCTGACAAGTGCGCCAAAACTGCTATATAATTTCAGAATCATGACATCACCACCTGATCCATATGCAACGGGCAGGGTGCAGCTAATGGCTAGCCGTCAGTGGTCATGTCATCGGTGGTCACTCAAAAGGTCATGCTAGGTCATGGAAGGTCACCAGCCGTTATTTGATCACACTTTCTGATGGATTTTCTTACCAAGAGCTTCGCGGGAAAAACGAGCGCATGCACCGTTGAAAAATTGAGTGAAAGGGTCTCAGGTCCGACGACCTCTGCAGGTGAAATGCCCCAGGGTAGGATTCCGGTCCTTGTTGATTAACTTCGTCAAAAATGGCAGTATAGAGCTGTGATGTCGGTACCATTGTGTTCGTCATGATCGAGCTGGCACGACCTGCATCGTTCTCATATTCACCCTCCAATCGTAACAACTACAGCAGGGATTGGCAAATGGCGGGGCACCCCCTTTGGGAGGTAATGAAGGTCTCTGGAAACCTCATCCCTCATCTCTTTAGCATTAGTGGCTCTCCTTATGGAACAGGTCTCTTGGCTGGTCTGTTTCACCCCAGAATTCAAAGACTAGTCAAGGTAAAACCGAGCGCACCACAGTGAGCACAATTTGATAAGCTGGTGTAGGTATCTCAATTTTCATGTAGAACCTTTCACGTATCACGTACCTAAAACCCTTTCGTGCACTCATGCAAAAGCAACTGCCATGTTTCAACAGCTGGTAATGGCATTTTCACAGCCGCTGACGTAAGAAGGGGAGGGGGGCTCGATTAGACCCCCAGCCGTTCGGCCGCCGACCGAACTTAGTTTTGAAGAAAAAAAAAGAGTGCTATCGAACCCCTTGACGAGAGGGAGCCGATGCCAGTGGCGGATCTACGTTGGGGCAAAATGGGCAATTGCCCCCCCTAAACGGAAAACGTCTGGGCAAACATATCTTTTTGCCCCCCCTAAAAAAAAACTACAACTTGAATACTAAAAATATGGTGTTTGAAAAGAAAATGTGAAATAAATGGAGGACTAGAAGGTTGTCATATTCGTGATATTAAGTTGTGAGCTGATAAAAAGTCCTCCGCCCCATGAATGTCAGTCCATCATCCATCAGATATGGTTGAGCTACTGCCGCTGTGTCACTCAGTGATGGCCAGAAAGAACGGTGTACTGCGTGCCTTTGAGAACAAGTGCGAGATAGGTTTCTGAGAGGAATAACGTAAAGAAGATTACCAATCGCGGCTTTTTCATGAGCCATACCGTTATCTAACGGGGACAAACACAGAAAGGCTCAGTCAGAGCTTTTGGTTTGCGAGGTGTTGGAGAAGCTCAGTATGTTGTGGGAACTTAACGCTGTTCAGTGTGATTCCGTTGGCTGTTGCGCTGTGGTCCTATGTAGTCTGTAGAAGCATCGTTTATCTCCTCTCGAAAGTAACACTTATTGTATAATTTTGCTAGCTCGCGAAGTTTAGTCCCAAAGTTAAGGAATGATCATTGTAATTGCATCAATAAATGCAGGACCGAAAACAAATGCGCTGTTCTTCGTCTATTTCTTGTTGGGATTCTTAATCGACTGATCTCATTTTCTATTACCGGAAACAACTGTTAATACGTTTAACTACGTGGCAACCCTGACTGCGTATAGTATCGCAGGTGCGCTGATGTGGCCTTTGGTCGTGGGCATTTACACATGAACCTGCTGCTGCGACCCTTATCGGTCTCCGGATAAAGAAGCCCTTGAGAACCGGCGCGGGCGGACCTTTCGGACGAGGTCTTGCCGAGGTGATGCGGGAGGTAGAGGACGGACCGTCCATAGCGCCGGTGAGCTATTCTCTAACTATCTCCCGGAGTCAGGGTGGCTGCAATTTTTTTTGCGCTGCCCTGGCTTGGCCGGACTGACAAAAATGTAAAAAAAAAAAATAATTCCCGAAATCCGAGGAGAAAAATAGGGGTAGCTCGTTTTTTTTGTTCCTAAGACTGGACGTTTGAAATTCTCGTCGACTTGCCTGGCGGCGCAATGTTTGCCCCCCCTAAACTCAAATCCTAGATCCGCCACTGGCTGATGCTACCCAATTATAAGGTCTTGGGCTATTGCGTGCTTTTTGGTCCTGCCTGTGATCTATCCGAACACTTCTCCCCAAGTGCTGGGTTTAAATGGCATAGATTTCAAATGGTTCCTGTGGTAGAACTGCCATGCTTGAATTTGACTTACATATTAGGAATGGAAAATATCCATAGAGTAACGGAAATCTATTGAATTTCAGTAGACTTGGTTTTGTCGGCAATGGGGTCTGGCAGTGGGGTGGGGAGGTAAT